GAGATAGGTTAGAAAAATGGATTTAAAAAAAAAACAAAACACGAAGTTTAAACTTTTAGTAGCAAGGTAAAATAATAACAGGAGAGGAAAAATGGTGCAGAAAGAGTGACCAGTATAATTTAAAGTTGAAGAAGGTAGGTTTTTTACTGTTCTTTAATAAAACAGGCAAAGAAACTTTGCCAAGTGAAACATTATAGGCGTAAGTAGGCATCCTGGTGAGTATAATGAAAGGAGAACGAGATAGTCGGAATAGAGGTAGGTCAAAAAAGATGCATGCTAAGAAGGTAATTGAAAGGTGTATGCAGCACATTTTGACATCAGAAGCTGAGAAGAGATTTCAGTACAAGGAGGTTCAAAGGCTGTTTTGATAAACTATATAACTAGTTCAATCACAGGCTGTAAGAGAACTGTTGAAAGCTGAAGGGTCAAAGCTAATAGTAAGATAGTTTGCAATTGGTGGCCTCAAACAATCATAGATTTAAGCTGAACACAAAATTATGAAAAGTTACCCTTCTTTTCAATAACATAACTAACTCAGGAAGATATCCTTTTGCTGTCAATATGGGCTTAAAGATAGATTCTTACTGTGTTATCTTGGCTTATCTGGGAAGCTGTTAATTCTAATTTTTTATTTTATTTTATTTTATTTTTCCATTTATTTTTATTAGTTGGAGGCTAATTACTTTACATCATTGCAGTGGTTTTTGTCATACATTGAAATGAATTAGCCATGGATTTACATGTATTCCCCATCCCGGTCCCCCTTCCCACCTCCCTCTCCACCCGATCCCTCTGGGTCTTCCCAGTGCACCAGGCCCGAGCACTTGTCTCATGCACCCAACCTGGGCTGGTGATCTGTAATTTTTTATTTTAAATGATAAAGTTATCAAAACAAACAAACAAAAAAGAAACCAGACCCACTTTAGTTTGCAGGCAGAGGAGGCAGCTGGCTTGCAGAAGGCATCCTTTAGTACATGGTTGAGGTTGGCTCGAACGAACGGCAGCCACTACTTTATTCTGGATTGTTAGAGCTAGAATCAAACCAGTTTCATTTGTCTTTAGCGTCATTCCTCTACCCTCAAAGCCTCCGATTTAATAACTGCTGACTCCAACTAGTTTGAGGTTGGAACAAAAGACAGACTGTGATTTTAGGGTAAGGAATCCTACCCAGTATCTCAAAAAAAAAAGAAGTGAGAGGTAGTCTCTCAGCTTCCACAATTTCAACTCCTGGTTTTGTCTCTTTAAAAGGCTCTGTCTTGTGAGGGGAAAGTAAACTGGCTGGTGGTCAGAGGCATTCTCTCACTCTTAGGCGCAAGGCAGTGCCTGCTGTGCAGGTCTGATTTAATGCCAGAGCACAATGTCCAGGGGCTTCTGAACCAAAAAAGGTCAGCCGATCCCTCAGTACCAGCCATCATTCGGCTCCACTGTCTGCCAGCAGGGATTCTCAAGCTCCTTCTCCTATGACTACTCAACTCCTCTTCAAAATCACTTTCCAATATGATTCATTCTGTTTATATTGATTTATTTAGCCCATGCATTATATTTGAGTGTGGAGAACTTACTAAAAATTTGAGGCAGGTAATAAATAGTCATTTAAAAGAGAATGCATGATGTAAAGTGGAGAACAAAAAATCCATTTCCTGTTAGAAATGGCAGAGATTTAATTACATATAGTTCTTTGAGAGCCTATATTTTCCAAAATATTGAGGAAGTTTACACTAAGTCTGAATATCAGAATTTCCAAGGCAAGTTTTATGCATATTTATTATCAATAACATATAGTGGGCATTCAATAAAATGACAAATTCTAAATTATGCATGTGTATATGCTAATTAAATGATAGTCTAGTAAATAATGATACTCACCAGTGGCTCAGACTGTAAAGAATCTGTCTGCAATGCAGAAGACCTGGGTTTGATCCCTGGGGTTGGGAAGATCCCCTGGAGAAGGGAATGGCTACCCACTCCAGTATTCCTGCCTGAAAAATTCCATGGACAGAGTCAAGTTGAACTTGACTGAGAGACTAGCACTTTCAATTTTTATGAGTTTTGTGCATGCCACTGTACTTTCAGTTCTAACTTAAAGGCAAAAGTCACCATCTGCCTATGGATGTATGTCAATATTTTTTCACAAAGCTATGTTTTACCTCCTAGTTTGTAAGCACAAGTCTGCACAGAGCCTTTATGTGTTTATACCTGGGTGCACTGTAACTTAACACAGACTGTGCACCATTGCACAATGGGGCAGAGGACACTACAATTACAGCATAATCACAGTAAACTCTGAACCTTCCTATTGGTAAGGATCTTTTCATCAGTGACCAAAGCCTAGTGAAAGTGTGCCAAAGTGATTTCAGATATGTATACTGTTGTTTGAGACTGGTACTAAGCTTTATCTTTAAACACATACACAAAATGTAGACAGTGACAGTTGACATAAACATGCACTGGCTTACAGTTCCCTTAGACCCATATTTATCTATGAGTCCTCTGAAAAACTAGTTATGGAGAATGCCTATTTTAACTGTAGCAAAATGCACATGAAAGTGAAAGTGAAAGTCGCTCAGTTGTGTCCGGCTCTTTGCAACCTGGTGGACTATAGTCCATGGAATTCTCCAGGCTTGAACACTGGAGTGGGAAAATGCACATAAAATTTGCCATTTAAACAATTCTCAAGTATGCAAGTCAGTGGCATTAAGTACGTTCATACTGTCATGCATTCATACTGTTGTACCATTCTCCATCTCCAGAACACTCTCACCTCCCCAGAGCCTCCACATCCATTAAACACTAACACCCATTTCTCTGGTCCCCTGAGCCCTGATAAAGACATCTCTGTGAACTTGATTCTTATACGTACCTCATACAAGTGAAATTATACAGAATTTGTCCTTTTGTGTCTGCTTTATTTCACTGAATATAATGTCTTCAAGGTTCATCCATGATGTAATGTATCAGAATTTCCTTCCTGTGTATAGCTGAATATCATGAATAAGGCTGCAATGAACACTGGCATACAAATATTTGAGTGCCAGCTTTCAATTCTTTTGGGTATAAACCTATAAGTGGAAGAGCTTTCTTATATGGGTAATTCTATGTTTAATTTTTTTAAAGGAATTTCACCCTCTATAGAGGCTCCACTACTTTACATGCCCATCAGTAATACAGAGGGTTTCAATTTTTACACATCCGGATGATTGTTTTTTAAGAATAAACATCTCGTCTTATTTCTTTTCATTTCTCTTCTACCAGTCACTTGCTTTTATTACTAAAATCAAAATCACAGAATTTATGATGCAAGATTTAGATGGATTAGAGCCCTAAACCCATGAATGGAAAGGGAGAGACAGAGGAAGTTAAAAGTTACGCCTTTTTTAATTGTGGTAAAATGCACATGAAAGGCAAAAGCAAGCTCTGAAAACAGCAAACTAAAGGTGAAGTGAAGTCGCTCAGTCGTGTCTGACTCTTTGCGATACCGTGGACTGTAGCCCACCAGGCTCCTCTGTCCATGGGATTTTCCAGGCAAGAATACTGGAGTGGGTTGCCATTAAAGGGATGGTGAATTTTGTCTTTCAGAAGGAAGCAGAATTAAAGATAATTAGATAATGTGTACCTAAATTTTTCGTCAGTATGGCATACTGATGGAAAGGTAATCAATAGTTTAGGATTATTATTTCTGACATTTTCTTCAGACTGTTGCAAAAGGTGAGTGATGATAATTTATTCTAAAATATTGTACACATTTTTTTATATAAAATAATGTTTAAAAAATTGAAATTAAGTAAAATTATTCAGTATTTTAAACAGGCTAGAATCATCATTTTAGAAATAGGATGAATCATCTTAAAGTAAAATGATAGATTCTTAAAGCAAGCAAAGAAGAATTAAAGAGCCTCTTGATGAAAGTGAAAGAGGAGAGTGAAAAATGTGGCTTAAAACTCAACATTCAGAAAACTAAGATCATGGCATCCGGTCCCATTACTTCATGGCAAATTGACAGGGAAACAATGGAAACAGTGACAAACTTTATTTTCTTGGGCTCCAAAATCACTGCAGATGGTGGCTGCAGCCACGAAATTAAAAGACGCTTACTCCTTGGAAGAAATGCTACAATCAACTAGACAGCATATTAAAATGCAGAGACATTACTTTGCCAATAAAGGTCCGTCTAGTCCAAGCTATGGTTTTTCCAGTAGTCACATATGGATGTGAGAGTTGGACTATAAAGAAAGCTGAGCGCCGAAGAATCGATGCTTTTGAACTGTGGTGTTAGAGAAGACTCTTGAGAGTCCCTTGGACTGCAAGGAGATCCAACCAGTCAATCCTAAAGGAAATCAGTCCTTAATACACATTGGAAGGACTGATGCTGAAACTGAAACTCCAATACTTTGGCCACCTGACGTGAAAACTCACTAGAAAAGACCCTGATGCTGGAAAAGATTGAAGGTGGGAGGAGAAGGAGACGACAAAGGATGATTGGATGGCATCACCAACTCAACGGACATGAGTCTGAGCAAGCTCCGGGAGTTGGTGATGGACAGGGAAGCCTGTAGTGCTGCAGTCCATGGGGTTGCAAAGAGTCAGAGATGACTGAGCAACTGAACTGAAAGCAACTTTAAGTAACATACACAAAAATATAGTATCTCAAGTTTATATACTATTTTATAATACTTTATAAGATATTCATGTAGACACTAAAATTCTAATGTTTCTAAACTTGTCTATACCATAATATTATAAAGAGAGTATTTAACTTATATATTTACTACTTTCATATGAAAACATATTCTCCTAAAGCATAACAATAAGTTTCACCTTACAAAACACAGTAATATAAATTTAAGGAAACAAAATGGTATTTTCCTGACCAATCCAAACTTCTTATTGAAGAGAAAGATAATTTAGTCAAATTTTGTCAAAATGAATTCAAAAAAGAACTTCAAAATTACTATCTAGATATGATAGAAAACTGTGACCCTCCTTCAGAGTTATTTAAAAAATTAGTCACATAGGATTTTGATTAGTTTAGCTACAACATGCACATTGAGACTATTTCCAAGTAGACGATAACGCTGTTTGACAGTTGTCATCTCAGGAAATCCTAGAAAAGAGAGATAATAATTTATAATACAATCATTTGAAATATTAACTTTCAGAGATAAAAGGATATATTCTTTGGTAAAGCCATTGTGGTCCCTGGTTGGGGAAACTATTAATAAGATACAGTATGCCATGAGGTGTGGTAAAAAAAATAGAAAGTAAAAAAAAAAAGCAAAGTATTCTATGTTTAATATTTATCTTAGTACTTATTAATAACATTATGTATTCACAATATTATGTGTACTGTATACGACTATAAAATATAGTGGAACTCAAACTTAAAGCATTATCAGTAAAAATCAGCTGATCCAAGGTTTATTCATGCTGTAACATGTACTAATAGTTCATTCCTCTCCATGTCTGAATAATATTCTATCATATGGATATACCATATTTAATTTAGCCATCCATTCATTGACAGGACATGACTGAAGCGACTTAGCAGCAGCAGTAGCATTGACAGGTATTTGGGTTTTTCCCTACTTTTTTATTATTATAAACATTGCTGTTACGGACATGGACACATGTATGCATGTTTAAGTTTTTTTTTCAGTTCTCTTAGATATATACCTAGGGGTGAGACTGCAGGAAAGAGAAAGCGAAAGTCACTCAGTCATGTCTGACCGACTCTTTGCGACCCCATGGATTATACAGTCCATGGAATTCTGCAGGCCAGAACACTGGAGTGGGTTGCCTTTCCCTTCTCCAGGGGATCTTCCTAACCTAGGGATCCAACCCAGGTCTCCCACATTGCAGGCGGATTCTTTACCAGCTAAGCCACAAGGGAAGCCACAAGGGAAACTGCAGGGTCATACCGTAACTCTATGTCTAACATCCGAGGAACTGCCAGAATGCCTTCTAAGGCAGTTGTACCACTTTATATTCCCACCAGTAGTGTACAGGGATCTGATTTCTCCACAACTTGTCAACACTGTTATTTATTATCTGCCTTTTTGTGAAGTGGTATCATACTGTGGTTTTGATTCACATTTCCCTAATATCTAATGATGTTGAACATCTTTTCATGGGCTTATTGACCATGCATCTATTTTCTGTGGAGAAATGTCTACTGAAATCCTTTGCCCACTTTTAAACTGGATTATTTTTCTTTTTACTGTTGAGTCATGAGACTTAAAACCTTGAGCATACCACCATAAGAGACTGTCCAAGCATAAGAGTGGACACTAGAATCTTAGTTACGATCTCAGAATTTCACATTCAGAACCCTCTGACATAGCAATTAAAAAAGCAATCAGCTAATAAAGGCAGTAATTAAATAGCATTACAAAAGCAAAAATTGGGCTTCTGTGGTGGCTCAGTGGTAAAGAATCCACCTGCCAATGCAGGAGACAAGCGTTTAATCCCTGATCTGGGAAGATTCCACATGTTGCAAAGCAACTAAGCTCCCGTGCGCAACTATTGAGCCTGTGCTCTAGAGTCCGGGAGCTGCGACTACTGAAGCCCTCACACCCTAGAGCTGGTGCTCCCCAACAAGAGAAGCCACCGCAATGAGAAGCTTGTGCACTGCAACTAGAGAGTAGCCCCTGCTTGTCGCAACTAAAGAAAGGCCAGTACAGCAACAAAGACCCAGCTCAGCCAAAAATAAATAAATAAATTTATTTTTTAAAAATTTCAAAACTTGATAAAGTTGCTTCATCAACACTAGACATTACATTACCTGCAATAAAATAAGAGTGATTACCATAATAAAACTATCATTGCAATGGAGCCCAGTCATATAATTCCTATCACAAAGATAATGTCTTAGGCAAGAACATTAGTCATCTCAGAAGTTATTTACTTCAAAGTAGCCAGAGGTAGAAATATACCTACAAACAAACTTTAAGACTATCCCAGGGATGGTCCTTTGTGATATCAAGATTGTATCAATGGGGAAGACACCTCTGAAAACAAGCAAGATTTGTAAATGGAGGGAACACATGTATTTCTACGGCTGATTCACACTGATGTATGGCAAAAGCCATCACAATATTGTAAAGTAATTACCCTCCAATTAAAATAAATAAATATTTTTAAAAACCCTATATATATATAAGACACATACATATATACACATGCAATATATACGTGTATGTCTTTCATATATAGGTACTAAAATCTAAATTTATTTATGGAAAAAAATTACATATTTTTTAAAGTTAAAAGATGACTTTTAAAAAACTTAGGTACCTTAAAAATAATAATCCTCTCCAAAACAAAGAAACCTAGAATTTAGAAGGTCAAGATAGCAGCAATTATTCAGTAAGTGAAGGTTAGTGTCTGTCTCCCAAAGCCTGCTATCTCATGAATGCACGCCACTGGCCACAAAGAGAAACAGGACAACATGTGCAGGAGGATCAATGCAAATCCATCACTACTGTGGACAAGTAGCTCCAAGAATGCCCATTCTGGACCCAGGATTAACGATGTCAGAGGCCCACGTGAAGGACAGGCCTGTCACAGTGGTGCTCACTGGTGACTATAGGGTTTGACTGACTATACACATCTATCACGCATTTTAAAAGGTTTAAGCAATTTACCAATGCAGGGGACATGGGTTCAGCTCCTGGTCTGGGAAGATTCCACATGCCACGGGTCAACTGAGCACATGCGCCCCAACTACTGAAGCCTGAGCATCCCAACAAGAGAAGAAGTCACCATAATGAGAAGCCTGCCCACTGCAACTAGAGAATAGCCCCTGCTCACTACAACTAAAGAAAGTCTGTGTGGCACCGAAGACCCAGGGCAGCCATAAACAAATAAATAAGGTTTTCTCTCATGTATTATATATTTTCAGGGAACTTTGAAAAATCCTATTTTACCCTATTTATATCTTTAAAAACTGAGAAAAAAGTGTTTATGAAATAAAGGCTACAACGTTTATCATTTAAAATATAAAAGCTGGAGAAGGAAATGGCAACCCACTCTAGTATTCTTGCCTGGAAAAGTCCATGGACAGAGGAGCCTGGCGGGCTGCAGTCCATGGGGTTACATGACTGAGCATGTGTGCACGAGGGTAGAGGGAGATGGGTTGGTAGCAATAAAGTGGTAGAACTGAAAAAATAAAATAAAAGATAAAAGCACAAATTTCGTATTAGGTATCAGATAGTTTGCAAACATGTTATATATGTTAATTCACTTACCTCTTACAACAACCCTATGAAGTCAGTACTGCAATTACCCCCATCTTAGAGACACAAAAACAAAGCAGAAAGTGACCTAGGTAGGGCTAAAATTCATGGTCTGTCTGACTCTGGGGTCTGTGCTAAATTTCATTATTACCAAAGTGACTACTACTACTTGAAAAAATAAACACTGAACTAAAACTTAGAACTTAGTTTCTATTAGACAGTAAATCTCTTTTCTCTCTATAGTACTATGGAAAGTACCTTTGATGACTCATCCTAAAAATGAAAGAAAAAAAAGTAACCAGGACAATAGACTGGGAAATAAACTTCTGAGTGCAATTCTCACTTCTTTGTTTGATGATGTTCTCATTCACTTTGTGACATAAACTAAGACAAGGGAAGTCTATGTTTTCTTAAATAACATTCCCTGGGATAGTTCAAATTGAATGAGGTCACCAAGAGAAAGGCAGAGAGGACAAAATAAACCCAGTTGCTGTGACTCTGCTTGGAGAATCAATTACCAAGAGGGTAGTCAAGTTCTGTTGGAGTTTGTTCTCAATGCAAAAAAAAGATGCATTCCAAACCTCAAGTGTAAATTATTTAGATTTTAAAACATGATCTATCTAACCCATGATGTTCTTCAAGAATAGTACTGTAATAATATTACAACAAGATTAGATTTCGCAGAGCTTGGCTTTTCTGTAGTCAAGCTCCCAGTAAGTTATCAAAAACACATTTCTTCCTTGTGAGGAAAAGTGAGGGGGATTTTTGTCTCTCTCTTCCCATGAGCTAGGTGCGAGGGACACCCCTCACCTCCCTCTGCCTAGGAAACCAATGGCATCCACAGAGTGAAAGCCCCTGTGCCAAGGAAGCAGGATCAGGAAGAGGCAGTTGCTCTAAGAGGCAAAGGCACTACATCCAGTCTCCTCATACAACAATCCCTGGCCTTCTTCAATGACAAAAGGCGTCAGGGGTTCCTCCTTCTAACTCTGGAACCGTATGTTCATTTTTGTTCTTGAGATTCCATCCTCAGATTCTCTAATTTGGTGTCAATTCTGGGATCTGTGCTCCCAAGTCACCCTTAATTTCCACTAGGAAAGCTCCTTCCTAGAGCACCTCTCCACTTTCTCTTTTTTCCACTTAAACCTTGTAGGGAAGGAAAAAGGTGTCTAATTTATAAGAATGTACCTCCTAGGTGAAGAAATAGAAATAACATACCTCCCACTACACACACGCAAAAATAAATTCCTTAATTGTCTTTTAATTTTTTTTTTTTAAAGACAATTCTAGGCATTCTTTCACAACAGCTAGTGTGTGGTTATATGAACAGGACTCCTAGAAGCAAAAAATAAATTTGAGAAAGAGATGCTATTAACAACCATCTGTGGGGAAAGTTGAGGAATTGCTGATTTGGCCTTTCTGTTCCTGCAAAGCACCTGGAACCATTACTGGAGTAAAAGGAGGAGAATTGAGTCTGAAGGGAATGGCAGGTTGTGGAAAAAAAGCAGAAACAGGAGAGAAGGAAGATGTCAAAATGGCACAATCAGGAGAGGAAGTGTTCTCCACCTCTGTCTGGGTAAGGGTTTATTCATAACTTACATAGGAGTCCCTAATGAGACCATTAATAAATGAAAGCTGGGGTTCACGTGTATCCCACATACCAAACTCTGGAGGAAATCCAAGGAGATTTGCTATTTCTTTAGGAGTGAAAAATCGAAGTTGAAGCATTGACAATCTCATTATTTTTTCTTCTTGTGACAAACCGGTAAGCGATTTGTAGATATTCTCAATCTGTAGGAAAACATCCATGATAACTAATAAGTAATAAATAATTAATAGAATGCAATTAACTTGTTAAGATAGTATCATCTGCTGCGAGTCAGTTTAAAAATGATGAACATATAATCCACCATAACACACAGAAGCCCAGGGTAAAAAGTCTGTGCGATGAACTGTATAGTTGGCTCTCCAAGGGTAAGATAAACTCTGCAAACAAACAAAAGCTTGACGTTGAACAGATCAGGATACCTTCAGTGTGTCTGTCATTTTCGGCCTCTCAAAAATTAACTCATAAGAATACAAACAATAAATAAATAACAATATAATATAAGAGAAAAACAGTGAAAGGAACTTGGTCCACCAGTAAGTCAGTTTTACAATGCAAACAGTCATCAGAATGTTTACGGTTTATGACCAATGTTATCAAATTAAGACATTTTCTTAAAGTGATAAAATATATTTAATAAATATGGTTTCTCAAATTCTGACATTTGTTTGCCTCTGATACAGTTTTTACCATGGGTAAATTTTATTAACAGTTAAAGAGTTTAAATCAGCATAAAAGAAAATAATGTGATTTCACTGCAGAACTATTCAGAAGTATATAAAACTTACAATACATCAAGCTTATATTCAACCATGACACCACAAAGAATTTGCAATTGAAGTATTAACAAACAGCCTTGCTAAAACAGATTTATTTTTCCCTAAAAGGCATTTTTAAAATATGTGCTCCAAAAGAAGGCTCTAATATTAATATTTGTGTGTAATCTTAGAGAACATTAACTATTGTACTCTGTATTTCAAATTACCCTTTATGGAGTATAAAAAGAAGGGCAAAAGGTAAGAAAAAGAAGTAAAAATATAAAATACTTTTTGTACATATACCCATACCTAGCAACAAGAAAAAGACTTATTCTATAGTAAATAATTATTATATACATATTCATTCCAATTGAATATGTAAAATTCTTTTAACATTCTCAAATTTTAAGTAATAAATAAAATTTTATTTAAAAATATTTTCAAAATATTTTAGTCCTGAATCCATGCACAGTACCTGCACATCCTCTGTTGTCTGCAACACAGATCCTGTCCCTTCTATGTAGCGTCCATAACTGAAAAATTAACACAAATATTTTGTAACATCTGCTTGTTAATGATAGACTTCTTAAATATTTCTTGAATGAATCAATTTTACATAGCTACATCTTTCTGAAATATTCTATCACATAAATATGCTTTGCAATTAAAAAAATTAGGTGAAAGACTTAAGATCATATTTAAACTTCTCAGACACTAAACTTGACAATGTTTTTTGTTGTGTAAATACTATTTGCATTATGCATTATTGTCATTTTTATAAAATATCAGTTTTTAAATGTTCATCACATTTAAATGCACAGGAAGTATGCATTAGTTACAACTTTTATATCCAAATACTATTCAGTACCGGCATGCCTGCCATATTAGACCAAATGTTATGAAGGTGAAAATGAGTAGTAGCTATTTTTCTTCAGATGCTTGAACCATCATTTCCTCTCATGAACACAAAACCCTATTCTCTCCAGCCCAGGACAGACTCAGGCTCATCAAACATGTATCTACCTCCTACTGTAACACCATATGTTTTAACTATTTATCCTGCAATAGTCAGACTATTGTTTTAAAAAACTATATTAAAAATACAAAACACTACAGAAATACAAGATATTAGTAATATTTCTTATAGTAAGATCACTGCTGGACTGGCTGTGTGATATTTTATCATTTTTTCCTAATAGATGAATTTAAAATATAAATTAAAGAAAGTCACATCAGAGAAAAGCTGTTTTTTTATGTATCATGTATGTGCCTGCTTATATTATCTACACTAAAATAGATTTTCACATTAAAGCTTCTTTGATACAATTTTTATAATTATAAAAGAATTTCAAGGTTTTTTTTTTTAATTACAAAATTGATAAGTCCTGTTTTATGAGAGTCCCAAAGAGAACCTATCAGACTTGGAAACAGACAACAGCTGACTGAAGTCTTTTAAGGTGATGGAAAAAGCAATAAACCTATTCCCCTAGAAGTACAAGGGCAGAGTATAGAAAATCAGGATAAGACTCGTACGATTATCTCAGGGGCAGAGTGTCAAGACAACTAGCTAACAAGAGAGAAGGTTTGAATGTTTAAATCATAAAACTACCTATCAAATAAGTTCGAGTAGTATTAACAAAGAAGAGGCAGGGATCTTTTCCAAATTCTTCTCCAAGGGTTTTATTTCCCCTTCTTTCTAGGTTTAAAAAGAAACTTGAAAAACACATTCATTAACACTTGGGAAATAAGCCAAAGGCTATAACCCCTAACTGTGCAGTAAAATAAATTATGATATACCTATACCATGAGTATAGCAAAATTCTTAGGCAATAATACCCAAATTACATTGAATGGTCAAAAAAACTGGGCACATAATAATGATTATAATATGCTACAATTTACTTAAAGAAGGGGGTAAAAATATACATGTATATTTAGATACCCTGCATATAACATCTCTGGAAGATCAGACAGTAAACTGAAATCATCGGTTGCATGTACAGAAGGAAATTGGATGAACAAGAGACAGAGAGGAAAGGAGTCTTACAATCTCAGTTCCTTTTGAATTTTGAACCATAAGAATATAATACTTACCCAAAAACTAAAGAAAATTTAAAGTGTTCTAATGTGCTCCAGATTATTCAATCTTATTTCTTGATATTAAATTTTAATTTCTTCTTGTACATTGGTTATGAAAGTGGACAGAAATTTTTGAGGTATCATAAAAAGAAAGGTGGTAAAAAATTAGCAATTTGCCATCTACAGAGACCATGTTTTCACCACGGGTATGTTTCCACTGAGGGTAATTAAGCTCCTTCGAAGGTCCCGAAACAATGGCCTGGCCTTTCATAGCACTTCCGTGGGCTGCGCACATGATGTTCTGCCAGAAGCAGTTTTTACTTGTGCATTCTATTGGAACACGAAAGCCCGGCAATTAAGGGAGTGAAAAAAAACAAACACATTCTAGCAGAAACATTTTATAAAATGCTCCTTGTTTCCAGAAGAAATAAAAGAAACAATAGTTATGAAAAGTTGGTTACTTTGGATATGTCATGGGTAGAGACTCTTTAAAACTTACCCTTTTGTAAAGCACGTGGATCTTCTGGAAGTGGGTTTAACAATGTCTAACAAAAGAGCATATCGCAGTAGTGACTTTGGTGGTAAAAAGAATGAATGCTTGTCAATGTCATCTTCAAGAAAATCTTTCAGCATTCGCACAGAGAGATCGCTGTCCTGTTGCTGTTTCCTGTCAATTTCTCCTGCAGTTTCAAGCTTAAAAAGAATGGCCTCTTTTCCAGAACACTGTGTGCTGCTGTCAAAGCTAATATTTGGTTCAATTTTCTTTTCTTCAGTTTTCTTTTCTGCATTTACTGCATATTTAGGGGGATGTTCAGATTCCGTTTTGGGGAACTCCATCAGTACCTGGCATTAAATAAAAATATACAAATTGTCAAAAGCTTTCTTAAAAATAAAAGATGAATTAATAATATCCAGTGAACATTATGCAAAAAAATTCTTTAGCTTTTACTGAGCTGTCATTAAAAAGATAGACATTGAGGTTTACTAGTAATTTATATAAGCTACTACAAGTTTTTCATCATATAATGATAGGCCATCAGTCTATAGATAATTTATTTCATGAAATTACTGCTTTCTCTGGTAATAAAACCATTCAACAAAATAATAGGAAGTAGGTTGAATATACAAACAACATCATATTTGGAAAAGAAGTTGAGAAAGCAACAGGAACATTTCCAGAAAATGTATTTTGAATCAAAGCTTGCCATTCCCTTTCATTAAAAAAAAAAAAAACACTAAAATATACCCATGATCTAAAGGAAAATTAGTTATTAAAAATGATAAGCACTCTTTGCCCTGAAAGGTTATTTCTATTCCTGAGCCCCATAGGAAAAACTTGTTCCTACAAAACAGGTAACCTTGTATAAAGTCCTATTTTGAGAAGGATAAAACAGTTTCAGGAATTTTTAATGATGAAATCTTTGTTAATATCCTTTATACATTGTTTTTGGAACTAGCCACATTGAAAGGGAGACACATTGCTATTGTATAATATAATACAGGCGTGTCTTCCATCGCCTGCATTGGCAGGCGGGTTCTTTATCACCAATGCCCCCTGGGAAGCCCCGTAATATAATACCCGTGCGTACAGTCACTCAGTACTGTCCGACTCTTTGTGACCCTTTGGACTGCAGTCCACTGGGCTCCTCTGTCCATGGAATTTTTCAGGCAAGAATTTTTCAGGGTTGCCGTTTCCTACTCCAGGGGCTCTTCCTGACCCAGGGATCAAACCCATGTCTTCTGTGTCTCCTGCATTGCAGGCAGATTCTTTACCCACTGAGCCATTGGGGAAGCATAAAACTCGTATCGTGTTACAGGGGGTTCAAATGATACTACTGAACCCCTGTTAGTAGGACAGGACTTTCAAGTTCCTGCCTGTGATCATTACAAAGAGCTTCACTGAACCACTGAAACTCTGTTATCCACAACAATTTGCAGCAGAAGCATACAAAATTGCTAGCATAATAAGAGAGTCTATCCATAGCAATTGTGCATTTCATCCTAGCTTATACTAATCATTACCATATTTTAATCAGTTAACGCTAAACAGCATAGATTTCAAAGAAAATGCAACCGACGTGTGAAAACACTTGAGCCATTTTTAAGACAGTATACTGAATTTTTATCAGCAGTAGTCTGTAGCTTCTATTGAGGGAGAAAAATAATTGATGCAAAAGAATCAATGGTCGGAAGAGAAATTACTGGGGGGCTCATTTCCCCCCAATAATTTCTCTTCCGACCATGATAACAGCAGTAATGGTAATTTTTTACTTTCAACTTATTTTTTGTAGTGAAGAAAGAAATGCTTCTGGTTTTGTTTCAAGCAATTAAAGCTGTCATAGCAGGAATGGGAGGGCTTCCCTGGTGGCTCTGTGATAAAGAATCCACCTGCAAATGCAGGGGACATGAGACGCAGGTTCAGTTCCTGGGTTGGGAAGATCCCTTGAAAAAGGAAATGGCAACCCGCTCCACTAATCCTGCCTGAGAAATCCCATGGACAGAGGATTCTGGCAGGCTACAGTCCATGGAGTCACTAAGAGTCAGGCAAGACTTAGCGACTAAACAACTTAAGGAGGGGCAAAAGGCTTAGAAGACAGACTGAATGCATGATCTTTATTACAGGCATGAGAGGACACACAAACCTCCACCAGTAATTCCAGAACATAAATAAGCAGACTGAGACCTACTTACAACAGATAAATAATGATGATGATGATGAGAACAACAATGATAATAATACCTGACCAGGGGCCTGAAAAGGGAAAGGCTCTGGCTGAAGCTTTGCAATAAGGAAGTACCGTAATCTTGAATTTGGAATGCCAAGCTGAAAGTGAAGCAGAACAGGTAGTTGCTATGGGAAATTAAAGTGATCTATACCAACTGTTAGCATCTAGTGAAAAAAAAAAACTCATACACTATACATTAGCTTACATCAGACAAAATTCCATTATCAATTTGCGGAAGACTTCCCTGCAGCAAATTCTTTTTTTTTTTTTCATTTGTTTTTATTAGTTGGAGGCTAACTACTTTACAATATTGTAGTGGTTTTTGCCATACACTGACATGAATCAGCCATGGATTTACATGTATTCCCCATCCCGATCCCCCCTCCCACCTCCCTCCCCACCCCATCCCTCTGGGTCTTCCCAGTGCACCAGGCCCGAGCACTTGTCTCATGCATCCAATATGGTCTGGTGATCTGTTTTACCCTTGATAATATACATGTTTCAATGCTGTTCTCGAAACATCCCACCCTCGCCTTCTCCCACAGAGTCCAAAAGTCTGTTCTGTACATCTGTGTCTCTTTTTCTGTTTTGCATATAGGGTTATCGTTACCATCTTTCTAAATTCCATATATATGTGTTAGTATATTGTAATGGTCTTTATCTTTCTGGCTTACTTCACTCTGTATAATGGGCTCCAGTTTCATCCATCTCATTAGAACTGATTCAAATGAATTCTTTTTAATGGCTGAGTCATATTCCATAGTGTATATGTACCACAGCTTCCTTATCCATTTGTCTGCTGATGGGCATCTAGGTTGCTTCCATGTCCTGGCAATTATAAACAGTGCTGCGATGAACATTGGGGTGCACGTGTCTCTTTCAGATCTGGTTTCCTCGGTGTGTATGCCCAGAAGTGGGATTGCTGGGTCATATGGCAGTTCTATTTCCAGTTTTTTAAGAAATCTCCACACTGTTCTCCATAGTGGCTGTACTATTTTGCATTCCCACCAACAGTGTAAGAGGGTTCCCTTTTCTCCACACCCTCTCCAGCATTTATTGCTTGTAGACTTTTGGATAGCAGCCATCCTGACTGGCGTATAATGGTACCTCCTTGTGGTTTTGATTTGTGTTTCTCTGATAATGAGTGATGTTGAGCATCTTTTCATGTGTTTGTTAGCCATCTGTATGTCTTCTTTGGAGAAATGTCTGTTTAGTTCTTTGGCCCATTTTTTGATTGGGTCATTTATTTTTCTGGAGTTGAGCTGGAGGAGTTGCTTGTATATTTTTGAGATTAATCCTTTGTCTGTTGCTTCGTTTGCTATTATTTTCTCCTATTCCGAGGGCTGTCTTTTCACCTTGTTTATAGTTTCCTTTGTTGTGCAAAAGCTTTTAAGTTTCATTAGGTCCCATTTGTTTATTTTTGCTTTTATTTCCAATATTCTGGGAGGTGGGTCATAGAGGATCCTGCTGTGATTTATGTCGGAGAGTGTTTTGCCTGTGTTCTCCTCTAGGAGTTTTATAGTTTCTGGTCTTACATTTAGATCTTTAATCCATTTTGAGTTTATTTTTGTGTATGGTGTTAGAAAGTGTTCTAGTTTCATTCTTTTACAAGTGGTTGACCAGTTTTCCCAGCACCACTTGTTAAAGAGGCTGTCTTTTTTCCATTGTATATTCTTGCCTCCTTTGTTGAAGATAAGGTGTCCATAGGTTCATGGATTTATCTCTGGGCTTTCTATTCTGTTCCATTGATCTATATTTCTGTCTTTGTGCCAGTACCATACTGTCTTGGTGACTGTGGCTTTGTAGTATAGTCTGAAGTCAGGCAGGTTGATTCCTCCAGTTCCATTCTTCTTTCTCAAGATTACTTTGGCTATTCGAGGTTTTTTGTATTTCCATACAAATTGTGAAATTATTTGTTCTAGTTCTGTGAAAAATACCATTGGTAGCTTGATAGGGATTGCACTGAATCTATAGATTGCTTTGGGTAGTATAGTCATTTTGACAATATTGATTCTTCCAATCCATGAACACGGTATGTTTCTCCATCTGTTTGTGTCCTCTTTGATTTCTTTCATCAGTGTTTTATAGTTTTCTATGTATAGGTCTTTTGTTTCTTTAGGTAGATATACTCCTAAGTATTTTATTCTTTTGGTTTATATGGTGAATGGTATTATTTCCTTAATTTCTTTTTCTGTTTTCTCATTGTTAGTGTATAGGAATGCAAGGGATTTCTGTGTGTTAATTTTATATCCTGCAACTTTACTATATTCATTGATTAGCTCTAGTAATTTTCTGGTAGAGTCTTTAGGGTTTTCTACGTAGAGGATCATGTCATCTGCAAACAGTGAGAGTTTCACTTCTTTTCCTATCTGGATTTCTTTTACTTCTTTTTCTGCTCTGATTGCTGTGGCCAAAACTTCCAAAACTATGTTGAATAGTAGTGGTGAGACTGGGCATCCTTGTCTTGTCCCTGATTTTAGGGGAAATGCTTTCAATTTTCCACCATTGAGGGTAATGCTTGCTGTGGGTTTGTCATATGTAGCTTTTATTATGTTGAGGTATGTTTCTTCTATTCCTGCTTTCTGGAGAGTTTTAATCATAAATGGATTTTGAATTTTGTCAAAGGCTTTTTCTGCATCTATTGAGATAATCATATGGTTTTTATCTTTCAATTTGTTGATGTGGTTTATTACATTGATTTCCTGCAGCAAATTCTTAAACCTTTTAAACTGTCACTTTGTACCTTTATTTGAGTGAAACAAATGTGGAATCAGATGAATCATATGTCTATGAGTCACTGTCATTTTATATTTCCCAGGTAAGAAGATATATAGACTTTCTTACATTCATTATTGATAGTACAATAATCATAAAAAAATAAAATTCACATATAGCTATAAAATTCAGATACAGAAGGAACCATGTCTGAACTAATTTTAAGATTTGCCTATAATGTTATCCAAAATGGATCCATTCTTTTTATTGAATCACATTCCCTTTGGGAAAATTTATTTAAGTTTCTAATTGTGGTACTTACAGAGGTTGGAGACAATAGAAATTCTTGGTACTGAAAGCCACAATTTTCTATTGTTTGTATTAACAGATCTCTGAAAAGACAAAGGGAAAGAAAGCTTTCACTCTATCGTTTGAAATGTGGTTCTTATATAAAATATTACATATAAAACTTCATTTTATGTGAAAACTGTACCTCCACTCAACTTGTTTAGAAAGAGAAAAATCCTAGGTCTTAAGTCCAATACTTGAGAAATTACATTTCTCAAAAAAATAGATAATCTGTATTATAAACAAAAAATTGCTAATCCACTGATGGTAAATTCATTATTGGAATGAAGCTATGTCTGTAGCCAATCAGATAGGGGAACACTGTCACAGACAGCAGGTGAATCAAGGACTTAATTGGTTGCATTTTCTCCAGTGGGGCAACCATCTGAAAGGGCCCCGAAACAGGGCTTGCTTCTTCAATCCAACAGGACAGAAAATGCCTGTCAAGAGGACTAATTCTTACTGAGAACATTCCTACTTCTAATGAAATGGACACCAACTTAAGCAGCTAAAATTGAGAAATACCATTCGCATTACTCATTCTGGAAAAATTCAAACATATCAAAATGCAAGAGAATCAGCTGACCCTAACCTTGTGATACTTCACATTACTCTTTGAAAACTACATTAATGATAAACTACATAACATATCTTAAATGTTAGAATGTACACATTTATTTTTCAGATCTTTATTTCACAACAGCTCTTATTATATAATATACCAACTCTAAGACAAACACAAGAGAAATACATTTCTTACCTTGTAGAAGACACTTCAAAACCTTTAACATTTTCTAAAAGAATATACTTCGGTAATTTTTGTAATCTAAAACAAAAACAAACAAACAAAAAACCAAACAGAATTCCAAACATCTCAATACTACGAAGTAAGAAGCAGAGAAAATTCTTACTTGTGAGAAATATGAGGTAACTGTTCAAACTGATTTTAGAAAAGAATTTAAAGGATGGAGATGACATATTTTAACCGTTTCCCCCATAAACATGGCACACTTGATAAGGTTAACATTTGAAATGTTAATTTCCACTGAAGTTTAAGTGAAAACACAGGACTGCACAGAGTTTTGAACTACACAGAATGGCAGTTCAAAGGGCTGACGTTTACGTGGAATGGCAGCTTCTAGGATTAGCAGTGCAATTTTCCATGCCATGGGCAACAGCATTCACTAACACTAGCATCATCTGCACTAATCCTGTAAGCAGAGGCAATAGAATTCAGCTATTAGGCTGTAACACCCTGTCACTCACTTAGCAGCACTGTAGTGCTAACAAACATTTGCAGTTGCTCTATCAGTCATGGCAGAAAATAAATGGCATGTATAGTATCTGTAGAAGCTGCTAATCTCTATAAAACAATAAGCATCACATTCTTCTAGATACAAAGTTTTACACTTATGGTAAGCTTGTACAGGAATTTAAGTTTTTACCTTGGGAGAATGTCTAGAATATATAAGAAGCTATTTGTCCTTGGATCAGTCACATCACCTTGCAGGCCAATTCTGAAAGGAATAAGAAAATAAGTTCAAGAATCTTACATAAAGATATCAAGTCATTTTTAAAAAGGCAAAACAGAGAACTACAATTAGTTGGTCCTCACAAAAAAAAAATATGATCATCTCTGTTGCTATAAAGAACAAAACATATTTATTCATTTAATTAAAACAAAAAAAGCTTTGTCTGTCTAGTAAATGTAGTACTTATAAAAAAATAATATGCCCAAATAACTTACATGAGGCAAAGAAGAATATGAAGTCAATGAAGAATTAAAAACAATTATCCTCTTAAAATCAACTTGTGTAGGAAACACACACACACACAATTGGCTGGTGACACCTTTTGCTCTGCCCCAGAAGTTCAGAGATGTGAGCTGGTTGGGCAGGGTGTAAACATAAGAGTCAATGGCAGTGATAATTAATCACATCCAAGTAGACCAAGATAGTAGGTAAGATCAGGACAATCTTGTTCAATGTACATGGGAGACAGTAAAGGTGAAGGCTTGATTCTACACAAAGGTGTTGCAACTTGGTTAGACTAACTAGGTCAAAATAGGTCATGTGAAAAGGTGGTATTTGGATCAGCAATTAGATCTTTTAAGTAACATTCAATATGATCAAGAACCAAGCAGAAAGGAATTATATTGGGCATGAATTATAACAACAGAGGATTAGGATTTAAGACCTTGTCACATATTAGCTTCAAAGTCTTAAATTACTTGACATCACTTATCAGCTCCTCATGCCTGATAGCAGGACCAAAATCATCAGTGGATCTGAGGCTCAAATGGGAGAAGAGTGGACTTGAACAGATTTCTCAGAAACCTTGGTTTCTTCTCATTTAGTCCCTTTCCTCTGAGTTCCAAATGATGATTGTGCTGCAGAATCAGACTCTGCGGCCATTAGCAGCTGGATCTGGGCTGATACAGAGCGAGAATGGTATCATAGGGAAGACATGGGCCCCATTGCAGGGACATCTGAGGCATCCCAGTGCTGGGGCTGCACTCTGCTCTGAGCCTCCCACTCACAGCAGTCAAAAAGGCCACACCCTTGCAGAGCTCAGGACTATCTCTATGTGGAACGTAAAGACTTGATTCTACACAAAGGAGTTTTTGGAACGTCATCCTTCCTTGATAAATTCCCAATCTGCTTTCAGGCACAATTCCAATATCACCTCCGAAAGAATTCCTCCGTCCTGATACGCAGCAATATAACACCTTTCTCCTCTATGTTCTCATGGCAGTTTCAGCATTCATTTATTATCCCCTTAAATCATATTACAAGGTCATAATTATTAATATTTGTCAGTCTGAAGTTCTGTAACAGAACTGCAGCATTAAAAACAATACCTCTAATGCAGGGGCACAATAAATCCTTGAGGAGTTAATTTCCTAGAAAACTTGAAATAAATCAAAACCTGGGTGGAAATTAAGCATGAGCAGAATATTTATTTAAATTTGAATTTTTACTAAACTTAAAATTGTATTATGTGTTTAAATGAAATGATATAAAATAATTGATAAATCCTGGCCCTTACATTTTCTAATTGTATGACCTTGAGAGAGTTACTTAAACTTTCTATGTCTCAGCTGCTCACCTATAAGAAGACAGTATACTAATGCACATCCCATAAGCTTGCTAAATTAAATGGCAAAATCTAGTAAGATATTTGGATTGTTGTCATTATTATCATTATTACTTAATTAAAAATATTATTGTTAAAAATATCTAAATGAAGATAGATTAGTCAAGATTTTATCTAAAATATAATTCCCTGAAATATATAGTCAAATAAATACCTTATAAGAAGAAACTGAATTGGAACATAGCTTTAAAAAAGCCATTTTATTAATTGTATGTATTATTAAATGTACGTATCAATTTTGAGAAATGCAAACTTCACAGATGCATTCTTGACTAGCTTTAACATTTTACAGTTAAGTAATTTAGGACTTGAATATTTATTATGAAAAATATGATTTTGATTAATCAGTGTTAGGAAGATATTCCTGAATGCCAATTAATTTAAATAATTCAAGGTAATTTGGGTCAGAAATAAATATTTTATCTTCAGTAGGTATTAAAGAAGTACCACATAGTCTCGCCATACCTGCAATGACTACGACCAAATCACTGTGCTCATCTGGCAGTTAACTGCTCTTTTCCTCATGATTAATGCTGAGTTATAAATGTGAACAGAGAAAGAGAATTACGTATGAAAAATTTCACGACTAGAGAAATGCAGCAAATGGGCTTTATAGTGTCTGTGCTTGAAATTACAGTATATTTGATTTAATGAGTCTTTCAAAAGTATTCTTCCTAACAGAGAAATATGTATTATACATACCTTGTGAAGGGCTGACAGGGTGGGCTCATTAAAATCATATTGAAAGATAATCTGTCAAACTCTTCTAGTGTAATGCCCTAAGGAATGAATATTGGGGGGGGGGGAAAGAATATAAAAACATGCATAGAAAGGGGAAAAAGGAAACAAGCTAACTAATTACAACTAAATATATCAGAAATTGTGACAGCTTATTTATAACACTTAAAAGTTTATAAAACATTTAATACTTTTTAAATAAACTTCAGTTAAACTAACTTTCCAAAGTGATTTTGTGAAGGAAGTAGAGAAGTAAGCTGAAGCTCTAACAGATTAAGTGACTTCCCCCAAACCCCAGGACCAGCCTAAGCAGAGTTGGAAAGTTAGATCCTAAGCATTTCATGCCTCTATGATACCTCAAGTCTAATTAAGACTGCTGTGATTTCAGGAATCAAACATGGAGAACTTTATTTCATAATTAATTTCAGCAAAAGATCTAGAGAATTATTAACACCTTTCTATTATTTATTTAGAAAATGTGATGTATTGACCAGTCACCACTTCTCTCCTGTCTGTCAGTATATCGCCAAACAGAAAAGGGTCCCACTTTCAGATACCTGCATACTGTTTTACAGTTGTGTGTAGTCAAAGAACCTTATAATCTTTTGAGGTTCTGTAAAACAAGATTAACCAAAACAATGCCTACTGGGCTAAATAGTTTTAAGATGTACTGTTTTGCTCCTTTATATACAGTATCAGAAGGCAAATACAGAGAAATACAAAATCATGGGTTTGGCCAATTCTCATTAGGCTCTGTTAGCATATACTCTCAGCCAGAAATTTAAAACAAGCCCAGAATCCCAACATTCCTAGTTGTCAGACAACTGACGTGTTCAACAAGCTAACTCTTTTCAGAACTCAGAATAAAGCTTTTCCTGCTTTTTTCATGAACTGGAACTTCTTAGAAATGTGTTGTGACTTATCTTCATAAATAGGTCTGTCACTCATTGCCCTTTCATTAAATTTAAGAAAAAAAAGTTTAAATATTGAAAAGTCCCCAAAGCACCTCTAGAACCCAGAGTTCTAAAGAAAACAATCTGAAAATCACACATTCCACAGTGTGTCGGAAACCTGGGGCAGAGCAGGACCATTATCACAGGTACTTAAGTTACACAGCTAGCTAGTACAGGGCTATTAAGAAAAGCAACTTATTGACTTCACAACTGACTGTAGACTGATTAAAGCCAAATTCCTAAAATTAAAATAAAAACTGAACAACAACTTTTAACATTAGGAGCATCCTAACTAGAATCTAAAAGAAGTAAGCAGTTAATACCTCCAATACCTCCGATTAGACATACAAAATTACACTTTTAAAGGATTTTTGGAAAGGGTGATTTTTTTAAATAGCACAACCCAAATGACAGAGCAGTTATGCAAAACATAGTCACTCAATTAAACCATTCACAACTATCTTTAACTTAGCAATCTAGATCAGTGTATGTGACAGGATTCAAGAAAGTAGTTAGAGAGTTTCATGGATTAACTTTAATAATTTGATATTTTATAATAACACAAATGGAAATCTATTCTTTTCTCATAACCAGAGCATTCAAGTTAAAAAAAAATGCTTGCTTTCAGAAAACATTAGATCAACTTCATGCGCTGACTTCATTTATCGAGTGTTGATAAGCAACTTTGTCACACTACTTGTTTTATTACTTCTCTTCTCAAAAAGCTTCCTGGTCATTCTTACACTTAATTTTCATTTAAACTTTAGGAAGAACTTGGTAGATTAGTAAACAACAACTTTTGACTGTTTTAGTGAATTTATTGCTAATCTAAAGAGAACTAAAATATTGTGGCACATTGTAAATCTTTAATAAAAACTTACTGAGTGGATATTTCATACTATTTTCTGCCCTATGAACTATGATGTTTTGTTCATGAATAATTTGTTCAAAATTACATGTTTTGTTCAAGAACAGAACTTTCTTGATCATTGTATTAATCCCCATTATAAAGCAATTTTCTATGACTCATAAATACTTTTTGCCTTTAGACAGATCTTATCTTATATCAGTTCTGAAATACCTGTTATGCCTGGCATTTTCCCATTTTTTAGGCACAATATGTAGTTCATGAGCCAATGTTCATAATCTAACCCACCAACATTTCAGAGTACCTATAATACGCTAAGCACTGTGATATGTCTGGGAATACAACAATGAACAAATCCAGCAAGTTTTCAGCTCACATGTTTATACCGCTGTAACTAGCAATTTTCCATCTCCTATCTAGATAAATACCAGATTTTAGTTTTATTACTAATTATCTTTGTAACTGTCCTATTCTTGGTTAAAAACCTACATGCACTTTTCAGGCCTGACCCCAGGCCATGACAAAGGCCTCACCCAGCAGGTGCTGGGGAAAGTCATCCTCCCCACTCTAGACTTGGAGCAAGGCCAGTGCCTGGCAGTCTCTGAGAGGAAGTGCAAGGTCTCAGGCCCCCTGGAAAGTCATGCTCTACACATATTTGCATTCCAAGGTCTCTCCATCTGTGGGCACAGAGTCCTCTTCACCCGCCATCTATTCCTGCCAAGGCCTCCTTCTGGGAGGAGGAGAAGCCCTTGAAGATACTTCTCTTGCTATGACGATACCCAGCAAATCGCACTCTCTCCCCCAATACCAGGGGCTCCCTCAACTGTTAGCTGACTCCCATGTCTGCTGATCCACTCAACTTCCCAGCAGGGTGCTGTACCCTAGGGAAACAGAACTGGGGCAGGGCATTTTCTCTACAGCAAGTAATTAAGGCTTCACTCTTTCACTGTTGCCCTGTTGCTTTAATCAGCTACTCTTGATCCCTGACAGCTCAGCTGAGCTCCTGACAACAACATGAAATAATGTCCTAAAAATCTACAGCTTCATTTATCTTTCAAAGAATAGACATATTTCTTGAGTCTTACTTTCCCTTCCTACTCCAATTATAGTATTTTTACACTGCAAAGATTTATAACACTCTCACCTTGCTTTCTGACCATAATTTCTTTCCTAACATGGCAGCTTTATTTCTGGGTTTTCCACTCTGATTCATCTCTTGCTTAGTTAGATTAAGTGGCTGAACCATTTTTTCAGTAAGGGCTCACAGGTAATACAGTTCGTGAATTCTTGGAGGTTTTATTTCAGGAATGTTTTTCATTTACGTCTGTTAATGTTTTTGTCCCATTTGTTTTGCTGTCTTCTGTTTGGCACTCTGACATGACTTTTATTTTTATAATGGTTTTATTTTTCTCATCTTTTTTTCTTCTTCCCAGACCACTGATAGTTTTCAAATTTATTGTCTTATTGTTGCTTTTGAATGAAGCTCCAATATGTCGGCCACCTGAAGCAAAGAGCCGACTTAGAAAAGACCATTATGCTGTGAAAGATTGAAGGCAGGAGGAGAAGAGGACAGAGGAAGAAATGATTGGATGGCACCACTGATTCAAACTCTGGGAGATGGTGAAAGACAGGGAAGCCTGGCATACTACAGTCCATGGGGTTGCAAAGAATCGGACATGACTGTGACTGAACAACAATACATTTATTTGAGTTCTTGAAGATATCAAGTTTTATTTAAGGGCAAACTAATAGAGATTTGTGTTTGTAATTTTCTTCTGCTTCTTAATACAATTTTTCTGTAAATATTCTGCTTGTTTATGTTATTTTCTTCCTTCAAAAAGTACTATATCAGCATAGCCTCAAAGGCTCCTTTCTAATTACTAATATATATTAAAAAAAAAAATATATATATATATATTTTAATGGAGATCACTTGAATCTAGAAATTTGCTAAAAAGGTGAACGAGAGAGCAGGTACTTTGTCACTGCAGTTTCTGCGAAGAACCCACAAAGCTCTCTAACTCAAGACCATGCCTCTGTCCTTAATCCATGTTCTCACATTTAGGATGAGCAAGAAGTCTGCAGAGCTTGCAGTGATGTTTTCAGCCCACTGATTTGGAATTTTTAATGTCTCTTCTCCTCACTTTGAACAAACAATTGCTGGGTCTGCTTTGTCTCCTCCCTTGTCCTTCTCAAAGCTGTATGAGACACAGAGAGATCCGAATGCAATTTTGCCATCTTGATTCACTGTGTCTTATTGCCACTACATCTGACATTATTTTTCTCAGTTTTCTTTTTTGTTTTGGTTTCTGTTTAAATCCTATTTTCATTCATAATGGTTTCCCATCCCCTCTTTTCTCTTCTTATTTCTATTAGGAAAAGAAATATAATTTTAGAATAGAAATATCTTGTCTTTGCCACATTCAATCAGAGGTCCCCCCCAAAACTGTTCACAAGTCCAACTTCTGCACTAAGTTGTAAGTTTCTCCAGGTAAAGACTAGTTCTCAGTCATATCTGTGTTCCTCTAAGGGCTCAATAACTTGCATGAAGTCAATGTTCTCAAATTTCAGATGATCAGAATATGTTGTTTTCAGTTCAGTTCAGTTCAGTCACTCAGTCATGGCTCACTCTTTGCAAGCCCATGGACTGCAGCACACCAGGACGCTCTGTCCATCACCAACTCCTGGAGTTTACTCAAACTCATATCCATTGAGTCGGTGATGCCATCCAACCATCTCATCCTCTGTCGTCCCCTTCTCCTCCTGCTTATGAAACTTAAAATCTCTTCAGTCTCTCATTACTTCTAAGTTCTCCATTAAACTTCCAACTGCTTTTTAAGCATGACCCTCAATGTACTTCTAATACATTTGCTCTGGACATGACACACTCTTTCCATTACAGAAGAGGGCTGAAGGGAACATCCAAGAAGAGACTCACAGCTGTAGGAAGGCACATTGTCTTCTTTCTCATAGACATCGTTTTAATGAACTGATTCTCTCCTTTCAAATGAGCGGGAGGTACCTATCTCCATTCTTTCCTCTCCCTAGTATTCTAATTTCATATGCAGATAATATGATTTATTATCATCTATTAAAACTAGTACTGAAATAGAGCTATCACTAGAAAAATGGCTACATATATATTATTCTAAATGCCCCCAAATTTCTTCTGGCATGTAGTTGGGAACCCCAAATACATAAAGTGTCCCACAGTTTCCCTTAGAAGGTAAAAAAGAAAAAAAGGTTAAGTCATCAAACATAATGGGTGCTTTACTGAGATTTTGTTGTTGTTTCATATTTTGTTCAGTGGGAGAAAACCCTTACTGAATTGGGACATTTGGCTGCATCAACTTTTAAATACTTACATTAAATTTAAACTTAGATCCATTTTTTTAAATAAAATAAATTTTGCTGTCATAATCTATGTCACAGAAATTTTGGAACCTAAATGCAGATTGCCTACATATGAGTCAATTCAGTTACTTTTTAGCAGATATGTTTCTCCTGACCCTGTATTTACTTCTGCCCTACGACCAGGACGAGACTGGCAGACTTAGTGCAGTTTGCCATGACGTTCTTGAAGTGCACTGCTACCAGTTACTGGAAGGATGATGTTATACCCATAGCACTTCTCTCGATGAGGCTCGTGGAGAAAAATATTCTCTTCTCAGTATCAGTGACAGATGGTCTTCAACACATAAACAGATGACTTTTACCTTGTGAATACCCAATCCCAGAGCCAGGAAATGGCCCTATTTCATATCCAGCTAAAAGAAAGCTTAAAACATGAATACCCAATCCCAGAGCCAGGAAATGGCCCTATTTCATATCCAGCTAAAAGAAAGCTTAAAACAAACCTGTTGGATACACAAAATGTGGTACATCCATGTCATGGAATATTATTCAGCCATTAAGAGAAATGAAGCCCTGACACATGCTACAACACGTCTGTATGGAAACATGCTAAGTGCAAGAACCCAGACAAAAAAGGGCCACATATTATATGATCCCATTTATAGAAATGTCTAGAAAAGTCAAATCCATAGAGGTAGAAAGTAGATTAGTGGTTGCCAGGGCCTGGAGGGAAGGAGAAATGGGGAGTCATTGCTAATGGGTACCAGATTACTTTTACGGGGATGAGAACATTCTAGAATTAGAAAGTGGTAATCCTTACACAACTTTGTCAGTAAATGAAAAAAGAAAAATGCTAAGAATGTACACTTTAGAGTGGTAGACTTCATGGTATAATGAATTATATCTTACTTAAATAAAATTTGTGAGACTTTTGCTTCTGTCTGGAGGGAGTAAATTCTGAGACTTACTTTCCTTCTGTAAATACTTTCCTTCTGTAAAGTACAAACATACCAAACAATAAAACAACAACAAAAAAAAAAAAGAAAAGAAATTTCATCAAAGAAGACATAGAAATGGCCAATGATCACATGAAAAAGTACTCAACAGTATTAGTCACTAGGACAATGCAAATTAAAATCACAATATCACTGTATGCTCACAAGAGTGGCTAAAATTTAAAAGATTGACAATAGCAACTTTTGGTAAAGATGTAAAATAACTTAAAGACTTAAACACTGACTGTGTGACTAAAAAGTGGTATTAACACTATGTAAAACAGTTGGCATTTTCTCATAAAATCAAAGTCTATCATACACTTCAGCAATTCTACTCCTAGGTATTTACCCACAAGAAAAAAAAAAAGTCTACACAAAAACTTCTACATGGATCTTCATAGCAACCTTTTTATAAGTCAAAAACCGGAAACAATCTAAACTTCAAACATGTGAATGGATACACATTTTGCAATATGAAATTTCCACAAATACCTGTACATACAGAATATCAGGGAACAATAATGAAAAGGCAACTACTGATTGATACAATGCAAAAACATTACACTAAACAAAAGAAGTCACACAAAAAACTACACTCATGATTTTATTTATGGTATACTAGAAATAGAATATTTAATTTGTAATGACTGAAAGCAGATCAGTGGTTGCCTAGGGATGGGGTCAGAGACTGACACTTAGGAACCTTTTAGGGTAATGGATGTTCTAAAGTCTCAATTGTGGTGACTCAGTTGTATGAATGTGTGTGTGCTCAGTCTTGTCTGACTCTTGCGACCCCATGGACATTGGTCAAAACTCAAACTATACACAAACAGTGCAGTTTCTTGCATATAAATTACAGTTTCAGGAGAAATATGTGTAAAAATTTTCACAACATAAAACTGGGAGCAAAAACACAATTTCATACTACACTGTATTTTGAAAGTAATAATGCATTAAATACTTCTGCTGAGTTCATCACAAGCAAAAAACTATCTTTACCTTCAACAGGCTTCAACAAGAAGAGAGTATTATGGAAACATATACACTGCCATATGTAAAATAGATAATCAGTGGAATTACAGTGTGACTCAGGGAACTCAAACTGGGGCTCTGTGACAACCTAGAGGAGTGGGATGGAGTGAGGTGGGAGGGAGATTTAAGAGGGAAGGGAAATACGTATAATTATTGCTGATCCATGTTGGTGTATGGCAGAAACCAACACAATATTGTAAAGTGATTATTCTTCAATTAAAAAAAAATTTTTTTTAAGGTAACTTTCAGTGGAAACAGTGTCAGACTTTACTTTTTTAGGCCCCGAAATCACTGCAGATGGTGATTGCAGCCATGAAATTAAAAGACGCTTACTCCTTGGAAGGAAAGTTATGGCCAACCTAGACAGCATATAAAAAGCAGAGACATTACATTGCCAATAAAGGTCCGTCTAGTCAAAGCTATGGTTTTTCCAGTGGTCATGTATGGATGTGAGAGTTGGACTGTGAAGAACGTGGAGCGCCAAAAAATTGATGCTTTTGAATTGTGGTGTTGGAGAAGACTCTTGAGTCCCTTGGACTGCAAAGAGATCCAACCAATCCATCCTAAAGGAGATCAGTCCTGGGTGTTCATTGGAAGGACTGATGCTGAAGCTGAAACTCCAACACTTTGGCCACCTCATGTGAAGAGCTGACTCATTGGAAAAGACCCTGATGCTGGGAGGGATTGGGGGCAGGAGGAGAAGGAGACGACAGAGGATGAGATGGCTGGATGGCGTCACCGACTCGATGGACATGAGTTTGAGTAAACTCCGGGAGTTGGTGATGGGCAGGTACGCCTGGTGTGCTGTGGTTCACAGCGTCGCAAAGAGTCGGACATGACTGAGCAACTGAACTGAACTGAGCATTCAGTAAGTATTGGGTTGGCAAAAAAGTTCATTCCGGTTTTTGCCTACACCTTTATAGAAAAACCTGAATGAACTTTTCTGGCCAACCCAATAATAAAACCAATGATTTTTTTTCATCTTCTCTTTTTCCACTCCTGCTATGTATATATTGTACCTGAGTACTGCTTAAAAATTAAGAATTAAGCCAAGTTTAATATCATTATAAAACTAAACATTTAGATGTATAAGAGTATATGCTTACATTTCAATTCTTTCAAGACCAAATTACTGATTGTATCTCTCTAAAGCTAGAAATTTTTAAAAAGGAAAAAAGAAAAAAAAAACTTGCTACCTTCTGAAAAAATAAAAAAATATAAATTTAATTCTCTTCTCCTAAACCTTTTCATTTACATATGACTTATCTGCAAATGAAGACACCAGAAATCAGTATCTTGCAGTATTCCTCAATCACATTTTTACTTGCTATATACTTACTAAAACAATAATAACTGTTACTCACTTCAATTGTCCTGGCCAGTAACTGTGTGTGAGGAAAATTATACTTGTACACTTCGTTAGCAACAGTGTTTACATCAACAGCGGCCACCACTCGTGCAGGTACACAGCTTTCTGTAATGATAAATGGAATATCTTAGAATGTCAAGTCCTTAACATCAATTTGTTCATTATAGAAAAGAGCTAAAATCAAAGAATTCTGTAGTACATTTCCTCACTTCCTCAATTATCTAGTCAGATCTCATGTTGTCAGTCGACAACAAAGCCAGGAAGAACTAGGTGGGAAGTGGAATATTTACGTACCTGTGGTTCATCTCTCTCAACAACATTCTGGTGCTAAAAATAAGACAGATGTTTTAATCATTATCTCTCATATTTGCTTTCCTTCCTCCTTTAAGGTATACATTTATGAGTCAAATGGAAAGTTTTCCTAAATTAAACCAAACACATAAAAGTGAAAGATATTCTTAAAAGTCCTATGGCTTGGAAATTTAGAAATTAACTACAATTTGTTCCTCATCTTCTAACATTAATACAATTCTGCTTCCCACTACCACTGGAAATGCTTTTAGGTAAGTTTTGGGAAGTTTCAGGTAAAATTTTTTTTAATAGCTTTATTAACATGTAACTTACATATCACAGAATTCATTCCTTGAAGGCTTAGGTAAGTTTTTAAATGCAATGAAAAATTAATTTCTGTCCAATATAAAAATTTCACAGACCAAAAATTAAAAATGTTGACAGATCAGCAGAGAACATAAGAAGAACAAAAGAAATAATTGCAAGGGTATGTCTTCCTTCACTGCTGCTGGAGAAAGATGTTTTCATAATGCTTTCAGTTTCAGAGAATTTTGGTATAGTCTTAAAATAGCAGTCACAATTTGTAACTGCTGTTGTATTTTGCAATTACCACCCTCTTTGCACTTCTTTCTCAAAACACATACAAACCCAATTATGTGTAAACTCTGCCCCAAATCAGTAGAAAATGTGAAGAGTTCTTGAAATAAAAGTATTTGAGAGGTCTTAGGAAAATCATCAAAGTATTACAAAGTTAAATAGTAGCTCCAAATAGCTATTTCTTTAATAACCATTTCTTTTAATAGTTAAATTTGGCAGCCCAAATATCAAAAAATGAAAGAGAAAAACATTAGGATGTGAGGAGCTAGGCCGCATGTAATAAAGACCTGGAAATAAAAACCAGATCACAGAAGATGGGGCAAAGAGGAAGCAAACAGACACTCAGAAACAATCTCAACACTATACTGACGCCTAAGAAAGATGACGCCAGAGAGAAACAAGGGGGTAAATGCATCCGAGTAAGTATTTACTACACGTCTACTACCAGGCTCAGGAACCTGGGCTAGGACCAACTCCTTCTAGGTACTCTGCTGCCTTGTATATAGGTCACTGGAAGCTTCATGGTCCAGTTAGTAATATCATACAAAGCTGCCTCTGACTAAGTTTAAATCCAATAATTAGTTTATCTGCCTTCGTATAAAGTAAATTTAAGTTCTAAATTATATCTCTGTCAAAGGTATCAGAGAGATCTTGAAACATAAATGAAGAAGGCTTTTAAACAAATAACAAAAATTAGTATGTAAGAATCAATTTGCAAAATCACAAACCTTATAATCAAGGTTAAGAACTAAGCAACTACTAATCATTGTAAGAGAGCTCGGAATTAAGTAAATTTCATTGAACTATTCCTCTGTGTTACTAAACAGGAAGTGTTGTAATTAGCATGATGCCGCCTGCTTGCATTTCTATTATATATACAGCAAGCTGGGACTGCCTGGAGTTAGTTGATGTGATTTTTCTCTTTTTACAGGCTGATTGAAAACCCACAGTGATGTGCCAAATCTGTACCACAATCAATAATTAATTTTATGTTCTTGTATTATGTGCCCGGAAGGCATAAAAACTGACAAAAAACAACTGACAAATGCATGTTTTATGTGGTGATACAAAAACTGATGAACCAAAAATTTTGTCTCAGAAAACAATAGATTTTTAAAGTCAATAAACAAATGCACTGTGTGCACATATTTTAGACTGTAATAAAATTAGGATCTACCACATGACCTAGAAAGTTATTTCCATGATGAAAAATAAACATACTAAGATCTTCCTGACACTAGTTCACCCTACCTTTTCAAAACAGAATTGTTTTGAGGTATGAGTGTGTTACAGAGAAGGCAATGGCACCCCACTCCAGTACTCTTGCCTGGAAAATCCCATGGATGGAGGAGCCTGGTGGGCTACAGTCCACGGGTTCACTAAGAATTGGATACGACTGAGCGACTTCACTTTTCACTTTCATGCATTGGAGAAAGAAATGCCAACCCACTCCAGTGTTCTTGCCTGGAGAATCCCAGGGACGGGGGAGCCTGGTGGGCTGCCGTCTATGTGGCTGCACAGAGTCGGACACAACTGAAGTGACTCAGCAGCAGCAGCATGAGTGTGTTAAGGAAAAAGTTAAACTATTTAAATAATACTCTTAAAAACCAAGCCTTTCAATTCTACCAAAACCTTAAACTGAGCTCCAAAGACAAGTTGTCTTGGTATTTCTTACTGTATACTTTAAATCTATAGCCTTCAAAAATCTTTGTTAAGCTGCATATACAGATTTTGAAAATGTTTTAAAAATCCAAACAAATATAATGCAGTAGATTTTTCCTAAGGGAGCCCCATCACTTTACGTGGTCCAAGAGTAGTAATTCTCAGAGGGGAGAGAGTTGGGGAAAAAGAGATCCACAGGATCTTTTGGGAAAGTAGAAAGAAAGGATGTGTTTTCAGTATTTTGATCTATTGCTTTACCTGGATTTTATTCATATTTCTGGTTTATTATGGATTGCATATTTGTTAATATTAACAGGAAGCATAGATTTAAAAAAAGGTGAGACACTGTATAATTAGATGAACAAAGCATAAATTATTTTTAAAAATTGTCAGATTAGATCTACAAGGAAAGGATAAGGGGTATTATATTACCATTTACATGAGTCTTAAAGTTAAAAAAAGGCAGATTTAGTTATGAGACTTTGAAGTGAAATGTTACACATGTCACTGGAATTACATGCATAATTCCTGCTCTTAAATATGTTTCTTAGTAAGTGGGCAAGAAACACACATACACACCACGCTTGAACAGTGATTATTTTCCTCCCTCTTCTGATCACACTTTCTGGAAAAGCTGGAAGGAAGAACCTCTGGTTGTTGGCAGTAAAAGGTATAAGTACACGCTCCACCCGCCTTTCCTAACCAAATAAATCAAAAAGTTTAATTGTTCATACATAGTTAATGTGGGGAAAAAACATTTTAGAATGTAAATATAAAATTAACTGGCCTCCCTTGAAACAAGGAAAGTTGCTTTTCTTCTTTTCCTTATCATTTTTGTCTGAACTATATCTCATATAGGTGAGTAATTCTTGAATTACCTCATTATAATCAACCTGAAACATAATCAGGTATGTTAACACTGACATCTAGTTGTGAAATGGAAGATCAATTGAATACATCAAACGTCTATTTCTTTTCATTCAAAGTCAAGCTTAACTAAAACTAAAAAGTATTTAGCAAAAACAGATATGCAAGGATTCTGAATTTAAAATGATCGCCAAAGTATATTTCCTACTTCTTTTTAAAGATTCTTGCACTTCAAATATCACAATAGGTTGGATTTCTTTACACTAACAATGAAATGTCAAAAAAGGAATGCAAAAAAAATTCCTTTAAAAATCATACCAAAAAATTAAATAAATGTAGGAATAAACCTGATTAAAAACTTATATGCTGAGAACTATAATGAACAAAAAAGAACAGGATTCAAAGAAATGGAAAGATACTCCATGCTCTTGGATTGGAAGAATTAGCATCATGAAAATGGCCATCCTACCCAAAGCAATCTATTACCCATGACATTTTTCACATAACTGGAAAAAATAATCCTAAAATGTATATGGAACCATAGAAGACCCAGAATCGCCAAAGCAATCCTGAGGAAAAAGAACAAAGCAGGTGGCAAAACCCTCCTAGACTTTGGATGATACTACAAAGCTACAGTAATCAAAATGGTACTGGCATAAAAACAGACAGATGGATAATGTAACAGAGTAAAAGCCCAGACATAAACCCACACACCTATGTCAATTAACCTTTGACAAAGGAGTCAAGAATATAGAATATAGAACAGGGAAAAGTCAGCAAATGGTGTTGGGAAAGTTCAATGGCCACATGTAAATCAATAAAGTTAGAACATCCTCACACCATACACAAAAATAAATCCAAAATGGCTTAAAGACTTAAACATAAAGCATGACACTATAAAACTCCTAAAAGAAAACATAAGCAAAACATTCTCTGACATAAATCATACCAATTTTTTTTAGGTCAGTCTCTCAAAGCAACAGAAATAAAAGCAAAAATAAACAAACAGGACCTAATCAAATGTATAAGCTTTTGCACAGCAAAGGAAACCATAAGCAAAACGAATGTAAGACAACCTATGGAGTGGGAGAAAATATCTGCAATCAACAAGGGCTTAATTTCCAAAATATACAATCAGCTCATACAACTCAACAACAAAAATCAAAACACCCAACTGAAAAATAGGCAGAACTAAATAGATATTTCTCCAAAGAAGACATTGTTGATGTTGTTCAGTCGCTAAAGAGTCAGACGTCTGACTCTTTGAAACCCCACAGACTGCAGCACACCAGACTTCCATGTCCTTCATTATCTCCTGGAGTTTTCTCAAACTCATGTCCATTGAGTCAGAGATGCCATCCGACCATCTCATCCTCCATCACCCCATTTTTGTCCTGCCTTCAATCTTTCCAAGCATCAGAGTCTTTTCCAATGAGTCACTTCTAATCAGGTGGCCAAAGTACTGGAGCTTCAGGATCAGTCCTTCCAATGAATATTCAGGGTTGATTTCCTTTAGGATTGACTGGTTTGATCTCCTTGCTGTCTAAGGGACTGGTAAGAGTCTTCTCCAGCACCACAATTTGAAAGCATCAATTTTTTGGTGCTCAGCCTTCTTTATGGTCCAACTCTCACAACCATACATAACTATTGAAAAAACCATTGACTATACTGACCTTTGTCTGCAAGAT